TTATCTCCACTCCTTCGTCTCCCACACACCCCATTGATGGCGAGCTCCGGCAGGACTCGACAACAGCCCTATTCAACCTTATTTTTGTCTGCGAGATGTGGTTGAATGTATCCTTTCCAGACTCCATTACCACCGTAAGTAACTATTATGCTTACCAGTCTGACCGTGAAAATCATAGAGGGCGTGGGGGTTGGTACCTTCTATAAAAAGTCACTAGGTTTGAAAAAGATTAAAGTTACACAGGAGCTTGCTCTTCCTGACCATTGTCTGCGAACTGTCCCTAAATACCACATTTCGCTTCTTACTATCTTACAGAGCCCCTGATTATGACCTTGGTCATATGAACAAGCTGACTGAATTACTAACGTGGGCAGCCTCCTGCCCTCACCCCCTTATCTTTCTTGGTGACCTCAATTTACGTCTTATTAATTGGTCCCTAAACGAATATACAACTGAACCTATACATGCAACCCTGTACAATACTGTCACAATTCTGGGACTGGATCAATTGAACAACACTAGGCTCAACAACTGCCTTGATCTCATCTTCTGCAATAGTTTAAACTCAATTTATGGTCTACAAGTTAAAGAACCTTTTTCCAACAGTGACCACAGCATGATTGATTTTTGTCTTAATTTACATCCATGCAAAGAGGGTCATAATGATGGGACACCAAATTATAACTTTAAAAAAGCTAACTATGATCTCATAACTGCCGACCTCACATCTCTTGATTGGCACCTTCTGTACACTGGCTATAATACTGCAGAAGACCATTATAACACTTTTTTGCTTGAAATCAATAGAGTCATTAAACTATATGTACCATTAATAACCCCCAAAGCCAAAAAAAACATTACCCATAACAATAAGAAAGCTTCAATCCCAAAAAAAATCTCTTCAGAGAAAAAACAAAACTGACTACATAGCTAATTTTAAAAACCGCAACAAAACCTTATGCTGCCAGATAAAGACAGAATGCACCAGTTACCATTGCAAAGGAAGAGCTGTTACACTTGAAATCCACCTGAGCCTTCTATAATTTTGTAAACGCCAAACTTAAAGACTTGAAAACTATCCCACCCCTAAAAGGGCCTAATGGGGAAGACTATAATAATGAAGCCATTAAGGCCAACCTGTTGTGACCTGCCAGATTCAGACAGTGAGGTTGGGGAGGAACGTGGGCCAGTCCTGGAGTCTGGGGAAGGCTCAGACAAGGGGTCTGTGTCAGAGGCACAGAGGGGGCCAGGACCATCTGGTAGTTAGTTATATGCTGCCTCCGGAGCCTCCGGAATCTGACATCAGCGAGGCAGAAGAACAGTGTAAGCCTATTCCCAGGGTGCGCATGTGCAGAGCTGCCAGAAGGCAAGAACAATTAAGAAAAAGAAGGGCAATTTGGGAGTAAGGCTTGGAGATGATTGGCCCCTCCCATAAGACATAAAAGAGGAGCAAACAGACGTGAGCCTTTGCAGGAAGCAATTAGTTCATATAGTCAATTCAAGCTCTGAGAAGTCCGTTTGACTCTGTGCTCCGTTTGGCCTTGCAAAACTAATTGACAATTAGGTCTCTGGCAGTTTTTCAAGGGAGATAAAGGTGGGTGCTTATCAACATTACCCTGAAACACTGTGTCAACTAGAGCACAAATCTGTCGAAATCTTCACAGACTGTTTGTGAATCATTACGGGCTGTGAATGACCATAATTCACAGCCGTCTCAATAAAAGAGGTTTTGGGGACTAAGATTGTGATTTATGCTTTCTCAGAAAGCCTAGGTCAGAACACAACCTCTTCAACACGTTCTTCAGCTCAGTCTTTGTCAACAGCAATGGCTTCTGCCCAGGGGTGAAATCTAAAATTTCTTACTACCGGTTCTGTGGGCATGGCTTGGGGGGGGGGGGGTGGTAATGTGACTGGGTGGGCGTCACCAATTTTTTTTTTTTTACTTTTAAAACCATTTTTTCTACAACCTCTGCTAAGAGGTTGTAAAAAAATGTTTTCAAAAGGCTCTGATGATCCAAGCTGAGTTCCCTGATCGGCAGAGGCTTTTTTAAAAAAAACCTTTGTTTTCTTTTAAATGCTCTGACGATCCCAGCTGAGTTCCCTGATCGGCTGAGATTGTCAGAGCATTTAAAAGAAAAAAAAGGGTTTTTTTCTTTTAAATGCCTTTGATGAGCCACGTGATCATCAGAAGCTTTTTTTTTTACTTTTGAAAGCATTTTTTCAGCCGTAGTTGTAGAAAAAATGCTTTTAAAAGTAAAAAAAAGCCTCTGATGACTGTGCAGCTCAGCTGGGCATGGGAGGCAGGGGAGCGGGGATTTTTGCTACCGGTTCTCCGAACCACCCACCTCCATCGCTACCGGATTGGGCGATCCGGTCCGAACCAGGAGCATTTCACCCCTGCTTCTGCCCCACATTTCCTAGTCGTACCACAACTAATTATAACGATCTGTTACACATTGATTTTACAGTAGGCAACGTTGAAAAGGCACTATACAGCCTAAAGCCATCTCTATCTACTGGCCCTGATGGATTATGTGCCTACTTTTTGAAAAAGCTCTCCACTGCCATAGCCGAATCTCTAAGCACAATCTATGAGGTATCTTTCAGAACCAGCTCCTGGCCTGACCTATGGTCATTAGCCACAGTCATTCCTATCTTCAAAAAGGGAGACCCCAGCCTAGTAGAAAATTAGAGACCAATGACTTGTAAAGTCATGGAATCAATTATAAACCAATCCATCGCCCTCCACTTAGAGACAAACAATCTGCTTTCTAACAAGCAGTTTGGTTTCAGGAAAAATTTGTCCTGTAATCTACAACTCCTACGCTGCAAAAACATTTGGACCACATAACTCGACCAGGGTAAGGCAATAGATGCAATTTACATAGACTTCTGCAAAGCCTTTGATTTAGTGGTAAACGACAAACTAAGCTCTTACAGTATTTCAGGATCCCTGTACACGTGGATAGACGCGTTCCTGTCAAACAGGCAATAGGAAATGCCCTATCAAACCCAGCACCAGTTAACAGCAGTGTCCCCCAAGGCACCGTTTTAGGACCCACACTCTTTCTGATTTACATAAATGACCTTTGCGATCATATTATAAACAGCTGTGTCCTCTTTGCTGATGACATAAAACTATTTAACACCACTGACAATGCTGCTGCCCTACAAAGAGACCTTGACTATGTCTCAGAATGGTCGTGCAATTGGCAACCCCAAATCTCAACTAACAAATGCTCTGTCTTACACATTGGCAACGAAAATCAGAACACCAAATACAAGCTGGGCGGATACAACCTCGTAGACGACCCTTACTCTGTCAAGGACCTAGGAGTGCTCATCTCAGATGATCTAAGCCCCAGAACTCACTGTAACAGCATTGCTAAAAAAGCATTAAGAGTTGTTAACCTAATTTTGTGAAGCTTCTTCTCCAGTAACATTGTACTGCTAACTAGGGCATACAAAACCTTTGCCAGACCAATTCTCTAATACAGCTCGTCTGCCTGGAATCCACACTGTATATCGGACATTAATACAATTGAGCGGGTCTAGAGGTATTTCACGAGAAGAGTACTCCACTCCTCCTCACAACAGAATCCTTTATGCCACCAGGCTCGAAATTTTGGGCCTGGACAACCTGGAACTATGCCACCTTCGTCTGATTTAAGCATAGTACACAAAATTGTCTGCTACAACATCCTACCTGTCAACGACTATTTCAGCTTCAACCTCAATAATACTTGGGCAAACAATAAATACAAACGCAAGGTAAACCACTCCAAACTCGATTGAAGAAAATACGACTTCAGCAACAGAGTGGAATGCTCTGCCTGACTGTTACATCCTCAAACCCCAACAGCTTCAACCTTAAACAGTCTACCGTGGACCTCACCCCATTCCCAAGAGGTCCGTAAACGGGGCACGCATAAGCATACCAGCGTGCCTACCATCCCTGTCATACTGTCCCCATCCTACTGTACTCATTTCCTATGTTCATGTCCATGTTTATAGTTATACCTGTTATCTTGTGCATGTTTGACAAAACAAACAAACAAACAAACAAACAAACAAACAAACAAATATTTTCTGTCTTTTCTTTTTCCACAAAGAAATCTATTAACCACAAAAAAATAACCATTACACAATATTTTTAATTAGTGGGGAAAGCAAATTTGTGAGTTTTGATTTGGATGAATTTCTTATTCCATACTATTTTTAAATAAATTTGCATAAAATTGTATGCATTTGCTAATATAGTTATTAAATATGTCCAACAAGTTCTTCACGAGGTCTATTCTTAACATGAATATTATGTGAACTATAGTTGCACATAATTGTGAGCTATATTGCCATCTGAGAAAAAAGTTCCACCTATCTATATAGAAACTTTGTTTTCCTCAAAATGGAACTGAATAAATCCTTACCATTCTTTAGCTAGAAGTACTTTACTTGGAAACATTTTTATTTAAATATAGCTTTTAGAATTTTTGTTCTTCACTGAAGATTTTCAGGCTGCCTATCATGCATTTATTTATTAAATTTGTATGCTACCCATCTCAATATCACACAAATCTGGGCTGCTCACAGTATCATAAAAGCAATATACACAATTAAAATACTGTATAAATATTAGAACATCAAGCCTTAAGCTTGAAACATTGACACTCACAGTAAATTAAATAAATGATCAGTGTATAAGTGGGATTCTTTTTGTAAAATATGTTATTGTAAAAAATGTCAGATTCCTAAATTGTAACTGGATTACATATTGCTCGGAGAAGTTGAAGGGATGGAACAATGAACAGATACGGGCAGTGTTTCTCAACTTGGCAACTGTAAGATGGATTTCAACTCCCAGAATTCCCTAGCCACCATGCTGGGATTCTGGGAGTTGAAATCCACACAGTTTAAAGTGGCCAAGGTTGAGAATCACTAATATGGGTGATCAGTTAAGAAGAACTCCCTACTCAATTAGAGATGTAATCCTGCCCCATTACCAAGTATCCCGAGGTGCTTTTCTTCCTCCGTCTGCTCTTTCTCCACACGAAAAGTCCCATCTGTATATTCAACATATTTGGCTTTCCAATATGTCCCTCCAAGTTGACTGGCATTTTGCTTAAAGAACAGCTGTGAGAAACTGAACACAAATAAGCCCACAATGACTTCTTGCATTTCTTAAATCTCAGAGCTTTTAAAAGGCGGATTTGTTACAGAGTATTTAAATCTGACTCTATAAAGAATGGCAGTGAGTTTCATTTTGAACTGTGCAAATAGCACAATAGCTTAATGGCAAATTAACCTTTTGTGTTGCTCTTTTAGTTCACAGAGTACAATACAACCAAGTGCAAATTGATACACTGGCAGACTCAACCGTCTTTTAACATCTGGAGTAGGCTGTGAGTAGCCTCTATAGCTTTCCCTGCTGACATCTCTGAGCTTCCCTGTGGTTACTATGCAAAGCTAGGCCAGTTAGGCAAAGCCCAGTTCAACTAAAAACTGAGCACCTACAGGAAAATGTCACCACCAAGGCTCCCTTTTTTGGCTCTTTCTCTAGGACTCAAGGATCAGTTTGAGATTTCCTGGTCTAGCAGGATTGGAAACAGTGCCTGGGTGGGCCATCTGGTAGGTAAGAGGACACCTGTTTTGCATTCAAGGGAGTTCAGGTTCAATCCCTGACGTTTTCTGTTAATGCCAGAAAGGGGTATGTCATAAAAGAGGAAGGATGCCACATCCTGAATTGCCCCATCCTTCTCCAATATCCTCTCTGTGGCTCCTCAGGAGTTTCACCGTGCACACAAGTATATAGCTGTGCATCATTTTTTCTTAATCAATGAACAAGTATTTATTTAATTAGATTGTCTTTACCTAGTTTTAGGACTTGTGCGGATCATATATCACATTTTAAGCCATATTTATGCAGAAATATTGAAAATTCAAAAGAATTCACAGGTTTTAAGTACTACCATAGTTGTGACTGTAACTGTAACTGTAATGAACTTTGTAGAACAGTGTGTCTCTCTGTGTCTGTCAAAAATACTAAAATGATGGCTGCAAACAATGTGCCCCACATCTGAAAAAGTGTAGGAGCTTTAATCACATGACATCACATGCAGTCTTTATTTTTCTGACCCCTCCCTGCAGACAAATATTGCCTTGGGTCACTGGGATTTTCAAGCTATGAAGTTCTATCAAGAATCCTTGACCCAATTCTGCCACTCTGTGTCGGAAAGGAGACCAGCTGGGCATTATCAGAGGTCCTTTTCAAGTGGAAGGGACAGTGGTACAGGTAGTCCTCAACTTACAACAGTTCATTTAGTGACGAAGTTACAACAGCACCAAAAAAAGTGGCTTATGGCCATTTTTCATACTTATGACCATTGCAGCATCCCCATGGCCAGGAGATCACAGGTTGAATCACTTGGCAACTGACTTCTATTTAGGAGGATTGCAGGGACCCAAGATTATACGATCACCTTTTGCGACCTTCTGATAAGCAAAGCAAAATGGGGAAGCCAGATTCGCTTAACAAATGTGTTATTATCTTAATTGCGGTGATTCACTTAACCACTGTGGCAAGAAAAGTCAAAAAATGGGGCAAAACTCACTTAACAAATGTCTCACTTAACAACAGTACTTTTGGGCTCAATTGTGGTCATAAGTCGAGGACTACCTATCTAAGATGAGAGGCTCTCAGATAAAGTTGTATTGGAGAATTCTTCTCCAACCACTCCTGGAAAACTAGCCAAAAGCTGCAGCTGGAACTTCATCCAATCCAGGGGAAGCCCAGGGCCGGTTCTGTCTTCCTGTAGGCGGTGGGCGGCTTGTGCTGACTGAAGAGGCAACTGTAATGGTTGAGGGTGGGGGCTGAAGATGGCCATGGAGAGACCTGACATAACATGAATGAGGCCCATCTCGCAGAAAGACAGGGCCAGGATTCTCTGGGTTTAACATGAGGGCGGGTTTGAAACAAAACTTGCTAAACCTATTTTAGACAGATGCTACAGCAGTGGTCCCCAACGGCTTGGCAGCCCGGCTGGGGAGGGAGGGGGGAACCAGGTCATGCGAGCAGCAGGCTGGTGTGCATGCGTGCGCACACAGCTCGACTGCAAGTAGACCTGTGCATGTGCATGCACACCAGCCTGCCGCTCATGTGAGTCGAGCTGCATGCGTGTGTGCGCTGGCCTGCCACTCGTATGTGTTGAACTGTGCACGCATGAGTATGTGCCAACCCGCTGCTGCCCGATTGCAAATAGGCCATGGGCCAGTAGTGGGCCACAGGCCTAGATTGGGGACCCCTGGGCTACAGTTTTACAGCTCCCAACTGGAGAACTGAAAAGAGACCTGAAATTCAGCAGAGCAGCTGAAGAGAGCTTGAGGCTGCTAAGAGATCCTGAAAGGCACATGCAACCTCTGAGGTTTAGGCTATCTACACTGCCTTGGGGTCTTTGGCCATAATGAGGACCCCTATACAGTAGGGCCTGCGTATGTATGTATGTATGTATGTATGTATGTATGTATGTATGTACGTACGTATGTAATCATTTATCTAAATGTATGGAGATTCTCAGTCATCCAGGTCATGGTTGTCCCAAAGGTGCTTTTTTCAACTTCGAAACGGAAGTTGGATCTTTCCGTTTCTCAGATGGCCACACAGTGCGGGAGGGGGAAAGTCTGGAATGTCAGCCCAGACAACAACAACAACAGATCTTCTGTCGGTGCCATCGGTGCCTTCTGCCATCTGTCAGTGAAGCATCTGGGGCAGCTCGGGAGTTCATGGCTTCCATGACGGCCATGGACCTGACCCAGTTAGTTCATGGCCCTACCCACACGGGGGGACACACTCTGGACTTATGTTTTGTCTCAGGTCAGTGGTTGAGTGATCTAGAAATAGGGGATATAGTTATTGAACCCTTGTCATGGTCAGATCACTCACTCTTTCGACTTGACTTTCGTACCGCCACACCCTGCCGCAGGGAGGCGGAACCAACTAGGTGGTTCCGCTCCAGGCACCTGATGGATCCGGATAGGTTCCTGACAGAGCTTGGGCCATTCCCTGAGGCTCTGGCTCACGACTTGACTGAAGAACTGGCGGCCGCTGGAGCTTTGGCGTCATGCCTTTGCGGCCTCTGACCTGGTGCCGATCCCAGGTGGCTCCCTGGTTCTCCGAGGAGCTGAGGGAGATGAAGCACCGGAAAAGATGCCTGGAGAGCGACTGGAGGGCCAACTGCTCCGAATCTGACCGAACACTGGTGAGGTCTCATATTAAGATCTACCTAGTGGTGAAAAGAGCGGCAAAATCTAACTATTTTTCCGCTCTTATCTGGTCTGCAGAGAACCGCCCAGCAGCCCTGTTTAGGGTGACCTGCTCCCTCCTTCATCTGGGAGCAAGGGAAGACCCCTTGCAGGGCAGGGCTGAGGATTTTGTGCAATTCCTGCATGACAAAGTCACTAAGATTCGAGAAGGCCTGGACTCAAATTGGGTAGATCCAGATGGAGTGACGGAGGTGGGTCTTCTTAATGTTATCTGGGAGGGATTTGACCTTGTGACTCCTGAGGACGTGGACAGGATTCTGGGTAGGCTTAGCGTTGCCACATGTTTATTGGACCCGGGTCCCTCCTGGTTGGTGCTGGCCTCCTGGGCAGTTACACGAGGCTTTTTCAAGAGGCAACTGGACTTCCTTTGTTTTTCCTTGAAGACGTTTCACTTCTCATCGAAGAAGTTTCCCCAGTTCTGAATCAGAAGCTGAACTGAAGAAGCTTCTTGGATGAGAATCAAAATGTCTTCAAGGAAAAACTAAGAAAGTCCAGTTGCCTTGTGAAAAAGCACCTTTGGGGCAACCATGACCTGGTTGACTGAGTAGCTCCACATTAACATTGCGGTTTTCAATCTGTGCAAAGCCTGTTCGGAAGACACCGTTGTGTGAGAGTCTCAACATGCATCAAAAACTAATTCTCCAGACGTGGATGTCAGCAGGGATTCTAACAGTGGCTGGGCTAGGTAATGCTCTCTTTGGAGCCAACTTGAGCTCATCTGCCTTTCTGGTAAATTATCATTGTTAAGCCAGTTTCGACATTCATTAAAACAGCATCTGCGTCACACATATTCTCCCAACTCAGGTAGTGAATTTAGTTACTCAGCCCATTCTTTTATTGCAAAAGTACAGTCAGCAGCTGAACAATCCAGTTTTTCCATGATGCTCTTTACAGCACTGCAGATGCATACCTGGCTGAAGTATGTAGGCTTTGGAAACCACATTTGAAGTCTTGGATCAAAGAGACTTACCTATTTGGCTCACGCAGACTTTTCCCTGTACTTGGGTCTAGTCCAGAAGGCCCGTAATTCCACCGCACCTCTTTGGCTGCTATGTAGTATTTCCGTAGTTTCCCTTTTAGGGCAGGTCCTGAATCCTGATAGGAGCAATGCTTGACTTCATAGAGAGCCTCCATTCCCGCTGTGGAAGCCAATAAGAGACCATGAGAGACTGAGACTCAATTTCCATTTTGTCAATTTGTGGAGAATTTGTGGGGGAGAAAAGAGAACAGTTCAGAGGATGCAGAAAAAGAATTTGTATAAGTTGGGCTAGCAGATTGGTGATGTGATTCACCAGATCTACCATGTTTTTTAAAAAATAATTATCATGCTCTTTTTATGCTGTTATTTGTACTAAACATTACCCAGAATCAGCTGGGTCATACCTAAATTGAATGAATTAAATTGGGTTGTTTAGTTTTCTAGATACAAGGAACTTGACAATCTATCTGCACATTAGAGAGTCGTACAAACAGAGCAACTTTGGAACTTAAATGTTCAACTCAGAAATCCAATACTGATTTGATAGATTAATCAGAAAGTCATTAAGTAATCTCTTTGATTCGCCAGTAGACTGTCCTCTCCACTTCTGCTCATAGCTGGATTGTGTTGCCTGCATTAACAGCGCAGGGATTCCTCTACTTTTTTTTATATTCTTGGAACATATACACAAAATTTGGAACATTAATTTATTTTAAAATATGACGATGATGTGGATATGAGATGTCAAAGAAGATATCAACACTAGAAAAGCAGAATGACTCTGGATTTATGATCTTAAGAGAAATGTTCCCACCTTTCTCTTAAATAGACCCTACTGACACAAGTAGAAGACTAGTGCATTTTAACTTGTGTGACCAAGCTTTTAATGATTGATTTAACAATTAGGTTGGGTGAATTATATCTGATGTCCTTCTATGTAACAGGATTATATATTTGTATTGAGAAGAAGTCTGGGTACCTTTTAATTTCGCGTGTTGTTTGTTCTTTTTTACATTAAAAAAGTTCTATCCTGTAAGCAGTTATAAAAAGCTTGGCTTTCACACTGCCTATTTGATAACTTTATTGATTGTTTACATGAAACTTTTTTCTTGTACATGAGTGGTTTTGCAATGCATTATTGGAGGTTGCTTCTATCAATAACATTTCTGTTTATGGGCTACCACAGAAGAAGAAAATAAAAACATGAAACGTTTAGCTGACATTATGAGAACACTGCTTTTAGTGACAATGTTGTTTCTCTCCCTTGTTTTTTTTCTATTAATTTCTCCTAAAAGTGGTCTGATATTCTAAACCCCCTCAATCTTAGTCCCTGCTTCCTCCATCCTTGCTTGTATTTGTACTTCCACAACTGAGAGTTTGAATATTTTGTAAAATGAAAGAGCTGCAGAAGCCCTTCAGGCATCCCTGAGAGGTAGCTGCCCAGGCCCCCTTGCACACCTCCATGCCTCTCTGGACTGAATCATTGGTTCCTCTGTTGAACTGCAGGCAGTTTGTTAATCTATTTTTTTCCAAACAATCAAGGAGAATTTGCCTAACTTAAATCCGTCACTCCTGCTCTGAACTCTGGAAAAGCTTTTGGCTTCTGTGATCTCCTTTCAAGTATTTGAAAAGTTCTAGCACATCTTCTCTCAGTTGGCTTTGATCAGGGATGAACATACCTAGCTTGTCCAATCATTCTTCATAGATTTCAGTTGACAGTCCCCTAATAATTGCTTCTGTCCTTCTCACAAATTTGTCCCAATTTCTGTGAGTCTCACGCTGTTGTGGTTTAGGAGATCAGCTAAAACCTGGCTTTTAAAGATGGAATCTAGTTAAAGTTAGATGTCACATCCTTGTTTGTGCTTAAATGTCTCTGTCCACAGCGGCCTAGTTTCTTTTTTCTAAAAAATATAATCAGTGATATTATTTTATACTATTTCTGTATTTAAACCAAAGAAGAAAATTTAAGGATCTGGCTGGACTGCCGGGACATGGTGTCCAGGGGAACATAGGATAGATTATATTTCTTTCTTTGAAGGTCAAAATAACAATTTCCTACTCTGCAGCCACCTCATGACATTGGCTCAAGTTCTGTATAGAATCAGCCACTTTTCCTTTATCACTAATATAATTACTGAACCCTGTTTCCTTCATCCTCTATCTGTGCATTTAGTTTTTATTTTCTTAGTGTATTGTGCTTATTTCTGCTAAATTTTATTCTATTTCTTTCATTTTCTACCCTACGAAGATCATTCTGAATTTTATGCTCATTTTCTAAGGCTTTCGTTGCCCTATCCAACTATTTGATATCATTGGAGTATTTGGTAAGTATTTTCTCTACTTTGTATTTACTTCATTCATTGTATTCACGTATTCACTCATTTATGAAAACATTGATCATGCAAAAATCATACTTAAGACATGTGAAGCTGCAATTTATTCTAGCTTTCCTTCCTTCCTTTGGTGTTTCCCTTGAGTCATTTTTAGTTGTTTTTTTTCTGTCTTTGGGAAGAGGGATCTTTCCTAAAAGCATTAGAGCTAGAAAAACTAGAAAATGTTTTAGATCTAGAAAATGTTCACAGTGTGATACTATTCATTTCTGTAACAACTGTGGTATCTGATTGTTTTCAGACAAAAAAAGAAGACCCACTGCACTATCATCTCTTTCATGGTTTATAAAGTACTTCCTCAAAGATACTAAAATGTCCTCAAAGTATGATCAAAAACTTGAGATGGCAGCTGTGACGATGGTCTGATAGAAGCCACCCATGAAAAGAACAGCTTCTTGCCCTGCAGTGTCACAGCTGCCATCTTGAGCATATCTCACAGGCAATTGTGAGAGCAGTTGTCTCAGGAATAAACAAACTTCTTTCAGAGCAAGGCCCCGAAAGAAAAATATGTTATGGGTTTGGTTCAGCTCTTCCCTCTCTTCTCAAGGACTTCTATCCCATGCTCCTGCCCAACGGAGAAGAGCTTGGTTCTTTGTTGTGGTGGGTGACTACCAAGGGCTGGGGTGCTCACCTTGCAAGTGGTCAGAGACCTCACAGGTCAACAGCCATTTCCCAACATTGTGAGGGACCATTTCAGCTGCCACAAAGGTTGCTGGGAAAAGGGAGGCCACATCGGACCTGTGTCCTCGGCTGATCAGTGTCTGTCCATGGAAGAAGGCAGTGTGGACATCAATCTCACTGCCCATCCCAAAGAGATGCCACGAGACCCGATCTCCGGCACACATTGTGATCTCAGGGAGGTTCCCAAAGACGAAACCATTAATGGCTGCAGAAACAGAAAGAGAAAAGTAGCAGTGCTGGAGGGGATTCCCAGGGTTCACCCCTGGATAAGGCAGGACAGGACTGCCATGGGTCTTTTCCTTAAAAAAAAAAGAATTATAGTTGCATTTTCCTTAAAATAATGTGTCTTAATAACATTTAATAACAAACACACAGTATATGTAACCTATAGATTATTGTAAAACAAATTATATTCTTAAAAACGATCGAAAAGTTTTTAAAAACCCACCAAAACAAAACCAAGAAACAAAGGAGAAAAAAGAAGACATAAGCAAAAACAAATAAACAATAAAACACAAGTAGACCATTCAAATTTTAAAATCATATTACCGTTCTAAAGTTTCACGTATTAACACACTATTACATCACTCCCCTTTTCAGTAATGAATTGGACCGCATGGATTCCTCTTGTCTGATCTTGTCTCTCCCTTGAGGAAAAGCCAGGTAAGAGGTCCCCGAGTGCATGAAGCCAACTTTTAGAGTCTGAAGTACAAACGTCTCTCTAGGAATACAGGATCACCTTCTTTGTATGGGTCTAAGCATAATGTTTTCCAAAGGTCTTCATAAACTGAGAATTCCCAAATGTTTACAGTATAATTTAATATCACTTTAACATTTTTACTCTTAACTTCCTTCAAGAAATCAATTCACTATGATACAATTTTACCAATGAAGAATTGCTAGTTGACATGTCCATATTCTAAGGTTCCTTGGCATCTGGGACCAAGGAAGGATGATGGCCGACTAATAAACTTTCCGGATATTTTTTGTTAAGTGGGTTTTATGAAATATATTGTACATTCCTTAAAAACTAAAGCCAGTGAAGAATATTTCAATTCTCTACTCTAAATACATAATGAATTACTTAAGTTTTATTTTTATGACATTTCTATACTTATGATAGTAATACATTGTAAACTTAGTTTCTATGAAGACCTCCTCCAATTCACACAGGCTCCCCAGAGTTTCAAAAGCTGCAATGAAGCCAAACAATGAACATATGAAACGTTTAAGATATTTAGTTTTCCATTTGGCTCTTTTACTTTTTATTTTTTTGCAAGATTTCAAATATTTTATATGTTTCTTGATATCTGAATAACAGCAAAAATCCCATTTTTGACCTTTGTTTTCCACACACACGCAAAAGCATTTCCAGCCATCTAAAAAGAAGAAGAATTAAACATTTTTCCCAAGACAATTTCAGTCAATTTTATGTTTTGACTTGCTGCCTTCAGTGCTGGAAAAATGATCACAGACAAAACCAAGAATTTGAAGGCTTGAGTCAAGAGAGCTAAATAATAACTCTCTAGTTAAGCACACAATGCTAAATGCTATGATCAGTATCAGTTTCATTTCAGTACATTATTGAAGTTATATCCTTTAAAATTTGGAAAATTAAAGCCAGCACCATCATATGGGAGTCATAGCTTTAATAGTGAAATCCTGGGTATTTGTTCTTTTCATCAAAAACTAATCACCAGGGGCACTGCTCTTAAAAAATACATCAGAGGATGCATTCCATTTTCATTTTAAACATATTGATTCCTTCTCACAAACTTAGTGGTATTTTCATCAACCTCTTAGAATCACTTTACACTTGGGTAACGTAAATTGAAATATCCATATATGCTAGACAAAACATTTTCCCAGGAACAATAATTCCCCTGTGTTTAATAAAGTCTGGACAGTAACGTCTGAATTTTTGGTGACTTTCTTATTCATAGGCAAAACACCAGCCTCAGTCGAAGAAGGAGGCAAAGAGGAGGGTGCTCACCATGCATCCTGTTGCTTTCTCTGAACTCTTCATCTTCCTTGTCAACCGAGTCTGGCTCGGTGCAGAAGGAAGCAATGTTTTCATCCAGGTGCCAACTTTCGTTCTCATCCACCACACTAAACATCAGGAAGAAATCAAGATCTACATCATGGCGTCTTGAAGGTAGCATTTTCAGAGTTCCTGGACCAGGAAAAAAACATGAGTGAATGAAGAACATCAACAGGGCCAGGTCTGGGTGGAAAACTTATGAAGTTTTCCCCTGTTTCAATTTCTCTTTCAGGATGACCTTCCAACCTGGGCTTCACTGCATGCAATGCCCATAAAAAGGGGAAGGGGGGGAGGGAGGGCTCATCAATTATACTGTAGTTGCTGCCATCTTGAATCTTTTAACCACATCCTGTGGACATCAGACCACCCCAACGATGCCCTTGATGTGATGTCCCGCTGCCTGGAGGCCATGCGGGCCTGGATGGGGAGGAACAGGCTCAGACTCAACCCCTCCAAGACCGAGTGGCTGTGGCTTCCAGCACCCCGATATAGTCAGCAGGTGCCATCGCTGACTATTGGGGGTGAATCCTTGCCCCCCACAGAGAGGGCTCGCAATCTGGGTGTCCTCCTGGACGCACGGCTGTCTTTAGAAGAGCACATGACGGCCGTGGCCAGGGGGGCCTTTTATCAGGTTCGCCTGATTCGCCAGTTGCAGCCCTTTCTGGATCGGGACGCCTTGCGCACGGTCACTCATGCCCTTGTCACCTCCCAGTTGGACTATTGTAATGCTCTCTACATGGGGCTCCCCTTGAAGAGCACTCGGAGGCTCCAACTGGTCCAGAATGCGGCCGCGCGGGTGGTTATGGGTGCAACTCGTTGCGCCCACGTGACACCCCTCCTGCGCGAGCTGCATTGGCTCCCAGTGGTCTTCCGGGTGCGATTCAAGGTGTTGGTTACCACCTTTAAAGCACTCCATGGCATAGGACCTGGGTACCTTCGAGACCGACTTCTGCCACCAATAGCCTCCCACCGACCAGTCCGCTCCCACAGAGAGGGTCTCCTCAGGGTGCCATCGGCCAAGTTATGTCGGCTGGCAACACCCAGGGGGAGGGCCTTCTCTGTGGGAGCCCCAGCCCTGTGGAATGAACTGCCCCCGGAAATACGTAAGATCTCCGACCTCCGGGTGTTTCGCTGCGCTCTGAAGACCCTGTTGTTCCGCCAGGCCGGGCTATTAACATAACGTTTTAAATTGGGGTATTTTAAATTTCTGGGATTTTAATTGGAGCCTAATTATTTAATGATTTTAAATTTTAATTGTTGTTTTGTTTCTGTGTTTTTAAATAGGCTGTACACCGCCCTGAGTCCTTCGGGAGAAGGGCGGTATAGAAATAAAATTATTATTATTATTATTATTATTATTATCTCTATGTCCTCACATCACCCTAAGGCACAGAATTGTTTATGTTGTATGAAACTCCCATGATTTGTAAATCAAGGTCTTCATTTATAATACTTCTGTCTTGCTATATCATTCTATAGAATTGCAAAGTGCCATATATCTCACTAAAAACAAGCAAGTTGTTTACAATTTAAACACTATAATATTATGGTGAGCCTTCTCTGTGGCGGCACCTGCCCTCTGGAACGACCTATCCCCAGAGATACACACGATACCAGACCTCCGGACTTTTCGTCGGGCCCTGAAAACACATCTTTTTCACCTAGCTGGGCTGGCTTGATCCCATCCCTTCGATTTTAATTTGTAATTGGTTTTAACCCGGGTTGTTTTAAATGAATAGCCAAAATTATTTAATGTTTTTTAAATTGCTTTTACATTTTATATGTTATGTTTTACCATGGCTGTTCACCGCCCTGAGTCCTGTTGGAGAAGGGCGTATACAAATAAAATAAAATAAATAAATAAATAAATAAATAAATAAATATGAAAAAATCTTTATAAAACTTTTTAAAAACCTGATAGCAATACCACCATCTGAGGCCAGAGTAGAAAGGCAGAGCAGCATCAGTTTAACTAATATCTTTGTTGAGCAGGTGTACCTTAAGCTCAAGATAATTGATTTTTGGGAATAGAGGTCCTAAATTGGGTCTAGGACAACTTGGGGCAGTCAGCTCACCGTGGCCAGCTCACCAATGACAAGTTGCCTCTGCCACCTCACCGCAGGACAACTCAACACGGCCAATTTGCTGCGGATACAGCTTGCCGTGGGCAGCCGGAGGAAGAGCTGGGCAGGTGGGTGAGCGGTGGGCAGAGTGCAGAATGGCAGCAGTGGCTGTGGGCTCCCCATTTTCACACACCCTGCCACCCCTGCCTCCGCACTGAGCTCAGAGCTGTTTGGAGTTCAGGCCATTTGGCAGTGATGATGGTTGGTGAGGTGGGCAGCAGGGGGTGTGAAAATGGGAAGCCTCCAGCCTCTGCCAGTCTGAGCTCTGCCTAGCTCTCCCTATGGCTCCCTACAGCAAATTGTACCTATGGCAAATTGGCCATGTTGAGCTGTCCTGTGATGACTTGGCAGTGGTGACTTGACAGAGGCAACTTGGCGGTAGCAAGCTGGCCACACCGAGTTGTCCCATTTCACCCAAAATTACATTTAACATTGTTTAAAATAAGAACAATTCCCCATTAAGTCTCAAGAAAAAAGCATCATCACTCTGCCCATTGGAGTCTTGGTTATTAAGTGTAATTTCCAGCCAGAATAGAATAGAATAGAATAGAATAGAATAGAATAGAATAGAATAGAATAGAATAGAATAGAATAGAATAGAATAGAATAGAATAGAATAGAATTTTTTATTGGCCAAGTGTGATTGGACACACAAGGAATCTGTCTTGGTGCATATGCTCTCAGGGTACATAAAAAGAAAAGATACATTTGTCAAATGTATGGTGGGGCACTCTGAAATAAGAATTTGCTTAAATTAAGTCTGAAGCCTGGAACATTCCAGAAAGCTTTATAGCTTATTGTAGCTCTGTAAGGTCATTTTAAAAAGAAGGGACAAAACCAATCCTATTTTTCAGAGTGAATTTACCTTGTTTACATATCAGCAAAGGGCCAACTAAGCCACTGGCAATATCTTTTGGTGCGTTGACATGGGAATGGTAGATCCATGTTAAACAGGCTGGATCATCAGCAGTTGGGCCATGGGCCTCAGGAACCGTCCACGTGTAAGTATGGTTTCCTCCTGGTGGGACAGCATCATCTGCCTTATGATCTCCAGAGGTCCTATCAGGATACAGGGCCCCTAGAAGAAGGATCAATGACACCATCCAGTCAAAGGTAGGTTTCACAAGAAATCTAATGGTCAATTCCTCCATCTCTTGATTTATATTAGTTTTTATATTATTAACTGTAGGATAGTGTGCACAAGGCCCAAACACAGTACATTTGTCATTAGCCTTTTTTGAGTTTACCCTTTGCCAACATAACATCCTTTAGACATACTCAGTCTGCCACACAACATTCCCAGTCGACAGTGATGGTGATTGGACTTTCTGGAAGTCGGGGTCCTAGAGATACATGTACAAAAGGCTGATCCAGAGCTTTCAGCTGTTCTGTTCTGAATGGGGTTGCCCCATCTGATGTCTTCTGGCAAACGTTTCCCCAAATTTCCAGAGATCCTTGCTAGATATTGCCAAGTACTCTCTCTTCAGCAGGGCCACTTGAGATCTCTAAAGAGTGGCTTGAGTTTTTCAGTCATCTGTCACTTGCAAACTTTCTCTCCTATGAACACCTGAAAGCTTGCAAGGTTATTTACCTTCTGAATCCTTTGTGTAGAAGACACCGTGGGGGTGAATGGTGAATGGGAAGCTGGCAAAATTTTTTAGGTGCACAGTAATGATGTCTCCCACTTCACCTCGTATAACAGGCCCAAGGAATCCCAGCCAGGCAGGCTTGGATATCTCTAACGCGTATGTAGAATCGGAGTATTGCTTATAGACTGATTTCCTGTAAATCCCACCTATTCTGTCCTTGGCAGGTTGGAGGAAACTGGAAGCTACACTAGAAAAGAAAAGACAAAAGTTGAGACAACATTGGTAGCAATTTCCACCTAAACTTACTCTATTAGTATATTATCTCTGGTTGGATGCTAAAAGTCCCTTTGAAAGTTTCTTATGCTATTTGTATGATGGCTGGTTCCTTTTAATGCAGGGCAGAAAGGCTGAAAGCAATATTATTATTATTATTATTATTATTATTATTATTATTATTATTATTATTATTATTATTATTGAGATTTATATGCCGCCCTATCTCCAGCTGGACTCAGGGCGGCTCACAACAGTAAAAACATCTAATGAAAAAGTTAAAAAAAAATTAAAACCAAATCTCATAATTTAACAGTTAAAAGTGCAATTAGCATGGAATAGTCCCTCTGATGCAAAATTTGATGAACCTGGCTGACATATAGAACTCAAAAGAAAACACTGATTAGCACATATGAAAATGCTTTCCAATATGGTCCCTTGAGAATCACTGTTGCCCTTTAGCTAGAAGTCTGACACTCAATCATCCAAGCAAATGGGCTGGCAGGAGAGACAAGAGAAGTGTTTCTTCACTCAAAGTGTAGCTGGCTTATATAACTTGTTGCTACATAGTATGGGGGTGCTTGGAGTTGGAGTTTGGAGGGAACTGAAGGGGGTTCAGATAAAATTCATCAAGGATGGGTCAATCAATAATGATCACATCCTGTTTCTAGAACCTAAGTTCCTTTTTAAGGTCATCACTGATCAATGACCAGAATGAGAGACTTGGATTCTACAGTAGAAACAGGATTTCTCTACACAAAAATAAAGCAGGAATGAGAGGAAGGATGGAGTGGGTAGGTAGGGAGATCTTGTGCCCACGTTGAGAAATTCTAGAGAATGAATCTCATCTGTAATCATGGGACACAGGACCAAATTTGGGCTATTTTAAGCAGCTCCACTGAACCTAGCAGGACTTGCCCCTAGATAAAAATGTGTTGGGTCAGTCATTGGGATGATCAAAAAGGCCATCTCAACCCAGCATCCAAGAGCAATATGGATCATAAGTAATAAAAACACAGGGATCGTGATAAGCCTGCAGCATCAGCTTGTTAACTGTAGGAGCAGCAGGCAGGGGCTTATCAGGCATTTAGTAGGGCATATCCTATGGCTAGTGGCTACTGGCAATCTCACAAGTTGTTCCAGCAGAGAATTAGAAAACACTTTTCAAACCAAGACCAAGACAATCTTTGACTTACGTGCTACCCCAGCAACATTCTAGAGGGCTAGGGTGAGATGTGGGCTGACAGGATCATAACAAAAACTAACCATGACTTGGACATGATCAATTTCTTTAAAATAAAGAGAATTAAATACAATTTGAATGTTTGCCCTCTGTTTACGTAATCATTATTCTCTGGTGTAATATGAACATTTATAGTTCACCAGCCGCATGATGGAGTCCAGAGAACTGCATGTGGTCCACAAGTGACAGATCACAGAGGTCTGGTCCCTGCTTAGTCACTTCCGGCTCCAACAGTTGGAAATACCGGTGGAAAGATTGTTCTGCTGCAGTACAGAACTATACAACCTCACCTATCATTAGGCATGTTATCAACCTCCCTGGCTGGAGGTCTAAGTCCAGGTTGGTAAGGGGTGGACTTTGAGTTTCTATCTGCAAATGAAGCAGAAATCTCCCGACAACCAGTAAGATTTCAAACCAAGCAACTGTTGAGCATTTGGGGCTGAATAGTTTGAATATAAGTCCATCCCCAGAGAATTTTAAAGGTTAATATTCAATTGAGACCACAAGTTTTTTCTCTTGGGATTGATGGATAAATAGTTGGACAAAAGTCATGGAAGTTTGTTTTTATACAATGAAAGATGTACAAAGATGGATTCGGCACCACCCACGATGGAGGGAGGGATGGTAAAGATGATAGTACTTGTTGATGATGGCCAAACTGACTTCTTTGATCAGAGAAAAGACAATATCTACGTTTATTGCTGAATGGAAACCCCTTGCAGACATTTTGTGTGAAACAGAAAAATGGAACTTATGATTTATGGTTTTGATGATTAGGCAGAATTTAGAGAGAAGAGAGTTCTCATCATAGAACAAGAGATAAATTTATAATTGTACTTATAATCGCTGTAAAGAATATCAGTAGCCACTTCTTTGTATCTTTTCCTTTCTGTTCTTTTCTATTTTCTTTTACTTTCCTCCCTTTTTTGTCTTTTTAGCTTTCTCTTTGATTTTTTCTTTTTTCCCTTTATATTCTATTTTTATCTTCTTTTTTAAAAAAAACTTAATAAAATGATGCACATATAAAGAACATAACCCAGCTGCATCCACGTATTGCAGCTTTACCTCAGTTCTGTAGGCCCCTTATGATGACACTCCGACTGTCCCTCCAGCCTCCTTCACATATAAGGCACAGAACAGCATTTCTTTTGCAGTTCTGCCCCCACTACCATCCAACTTCAGGGGAAATAACTGATTTTCTTTTTAAAGGAATTGAAAGCCAAATTCTTTAAATGAAGTAGCTGATGGGACTGCAGGTCAAGTTGCAATCATGCTACCAAGGAAAGGAAATGGAGCCGTTCCCTTAAATTTAACATTGGGCTGTTAACTGAACTAAATGAGCAAATCTCTCTGTTCCCAACAGGCCCACAGACACACACAAGGCAACCGCTTTGATCTGAGGGCAACAGTCAAGAAAATGACATCATAGAAAGAATTTAAGCACAAAACTTCTTCATCATAAATTCAATGGTGTCACAGCAAATTTGGCTCCAAATCATATATGTAAAACTAAGTTATCAAAATGTTACAGTGGTAGACTCAAATAATTAGCCATTTGCTGACAGATATGCCTGTGAGACTTCTAAAATACCATTTTGAGTTCCCAAAATTAAATCCTTAAATGTGCATTAAAAATATTCAAAATCTCATGAAATTAAAATTATTAGTAATATTGCCTGAAATCCTGAGTGTGAAATGGGTGAAAACTTGTGAAAATTAGAAATCCTACAAAATTTCAAGCGGTTTCAATTGTATTAATTTCCCTAGACGGATGGTAGAATCTGCCCTCTGAAAAGGTGATGGATCACCCTGTAGCTAGTTTCAGGGATGGGAAACTCCATGAACTCTAACATGAGTCCTTTGGGAGAAGGGCGGTATAGAAGTCTAATTAATAAATTTCCCTCTGATAATAAAAAAACATTTTGTACATTATACTGTAGCGTGGAAATTCTCCCATTTTTTAGATAAAAGAGGTCCACCACTGCACCTCACAAGTTGTGATTCATGCAGCACATTTCAGCGCAAACCCTCCAGTTTTATGTATACAATTCGGAAGTGATTTGATGTATCCAGGTAGTGCTGGGTGTGGGGATGGAGAAAGTGGGACTTACGAGTCATTTGCAATGCTTTGTCCGGTGACTGCATTCTTTCCTAATGGAGCGTAGTTCCACTCCACACTGCGGATCCCCAGATAGTAGACTCTGGTAGCTCCATCTGTCATAAGAGGCAGCGAAAGGAAATGGAGACAAAGGACAGAGAACTGTATTTGCTGACAGGAGCACATCGAAGCGAAGCACTGAAAGTCCCACCAAGACTTGGGATCTGAAAAAAGGGATGAAATAAAAACATAGAACAACATAGAATAACAGAGCTGGAAGGGACCTTGGAGGTCTTCTAGTCCAAGCCCCTGCTCAAGCAGGAGACCCTACATCATTTCAGACATATGGTTGTCTAGTCTTTTTTTGAAAGCTTCCAGTGATGGAGCACCACAACTTCTGAAGGCAACTTCTGTTCCATTGGTTGATTGTTCTCACCGTAGTTCTAGGTTGCTTCTCTCCTGTGCTGGCTGGGGAATTCTGGGAGTTGAAGTCCATGCATTTTAAAGCTGCTGAGGTTGAGAAACTTGGCACTACAATATTGACCGAAGTTCTAAATCTGCAAGCATATTCCAAGTGGGAAAACTCAAACATGCTTTGGGTCATGGTTCACTGGGTAGGACCTGCAGATTCTGTAGTGCCATATAGCCAAGGTTTGTTTGCCTGATGGGTCTTATTAGAGATTTTCAAAATTTACAGCTAGATTAATAAAACTTTCACACCCTTTTCTCCGCAGCTCGCAGAGTGTTTAAAACATCTGACCCCGGTGGTAATGTGTACTTAGCTGGAACCCTGCAGAATTCCGCTGACTTAATCGAAACTGGTTCCCTTCATAAACTTCTCTTATCATGGCTGATTCATTAGCCAATAATGAGACACCAGGAAAAATGGGCTGGGATACCAGTTTCTCTCTCTCTCTCTCTCCTGTTTTCTTGTATTAACATGCTTAAACCTTGCCTTTACAGGTAGCCCTGACTCACAACCACAATTGTCCCTGAAATTTCTGCTGCTAGGCAAGGCATTTGTTAAGTGAGTTTTGTTCCATTTTACAACCTTTCTTGCCACAGTTGTTAAGTGAATCACTGCAGTTGTTAAGTTAGCAACATGGTTGTTAAGTGAATCTGCCTTCTCCATTCACTTTGCTTGTTGGAAGGTCACAAAAGGGGATACTGCAGGATACCCCAGGATACTGCAACCATCGTAAGTGTAAGCCAGTTGCCAAGCATCTTAATTTTGAACATGGGGATGCTAGAATGGTCATAAGTGTGAACAATAGTCATAAGTAACTTTTTCAGTACCATTGTAACTTTGAACGGTCACTAAACAAATGGTTGTAAGTCGAGGACTAATTGTTCACTGTTTTGATTTAATATCACTCAGTAGGATTAATAGGCTGGAATCTTCTCTTTTGCACAATACAATTATCTTTGTAAGTATAGGATGCAGGCTGGGCACTTATGCTCTTTTATATTCTATAGAGATCTGTGAAACTGTACTTCTTTTGGGAAGCTTGTCAGGAAGAAATTTGGTGTCAATTATTTACTAACAGGCCATAATCCAAATATATATCCTGCAACGTAGCTACACTTTGCATCATCTTCACATACTCCACATACCAGCAGCTGCTAAAAATAAACGACTGTGCTCTGGTTTGATAGAGACTTGTATTTTTAGGATTTAATAGATATGCCTTGGTTAGGGAGGATCGTTTTTTGAGAAATCCTTTTGCAGGTTTGCAAGTAATTTGACTTTGTTGCTCTGTTGACTGTAACACCGTTCTTTTCCATTTGTTTTTAGTAGTTTGGGGTTGAGATCTCTACAAATTACAAAACCACCTGAGAAATGAATACTTTCTAACAAAGAGGGATTCAAAAACTTTTTCCTTCCAAATTCCAACTGATCAAATCCACATGCACCACTGTTTCCCCAAAACTCTTCTTTTCACTGGAAACAATTGGAAAGCTTCAGGATAAAGTTTAGGCCCTCTGCAGCCTAAACTTTTCTTGAGAGTTTGCCATTCCATTGACATGTCCATTTACATTTAGAACTGCAGTCTTAGTAACAACTTTCCTTTTAGTGAACCAAAAGGGTTTGCAGTTAAAAGACAGTTCCCTTACCTTGACAAAGAAGAGGGAGGCTCAGAAGCAGAAGCCACGAGGAAGAGTGAAGACGTGCTCCATAAGCATTTTCTTCCGGCACCTGAAGTTTCAATGAAATCTTCTGAGATTTAAGGAAGATCAGGTGGGGCAAAGTCTCACTCGTAAACCTGAAGCTGACTGTGGGCCTTTCTGCAAGGCCTGGGAATGGACTAAGCAGGACACACACATTTATTTACCTTGCATCTCTTTCATTTTTAGTTTAAATAACAAGGACAACCTTGGTGTAGTTTCACTCAGATGGCAGACTAGTTTATGATGGGAGGAGCCAGGTGATATTATAGCAGTAAAAAATTAGCTTTGTGATAAAAAGGCAGAAATGATTAAGATAGACTAAACCTGATACTTTCATGAGGCTCCTTTGCAAACTGAATTTGTACAACCCTTTTAAATTTGGTAAAATGCAACACCCAAAAGATTATGAGCCGTGATGGTGCAGTGGTCAGCATACAGTACTGCAGGCTATTTCTGCTGACTACCAGCTGCTTGCAGTTTGAGTCTCATCGCTCAAGGTTGACTCAGACTTCCATTCTTCCAAGGTCTATAAAATGAGGTCCCAGATTGTTGGGGACAATATGCTGACTCTGTAAATAACTTATACAGACCTCTCTGTCTGTAAAGCACTGTGAAGTATATAAGTCTAAGTGCTATTGCTATTATATACAGCAGTGATCATACAATAAAAATTATAATTAACAGATAAAAACTAAAGAAATAAGAAGACCCGTACCATGTTAATATAGAAGTAACTCAATGTATTCTTAAACCTAAATCATATGGAAACAGATGCCCCTCTTCTCATACTTACAATAGAAAGACATTTCAAAATTGATTTACAAAAATAAATCCCAGTTTTTAACAACAGGTGTGTACTTTCTTACCTGTATAAGAGTACTCTTAGTTAGCACAATTCATAAGTTTTAAGCATTCACTTAAAACAGAAAAAGTAGAGGGAGTCAAAAGAATTGCCTTGTATGTGTGGATATTCAATGACACATCAAGATTTTTCTGTTGTATGAGTCAAACTGGGTGTGCATTTTTTTCTCTAGTTTCCTGAATCGTAGAAATAATTCTCAAAGGTCATTTCAAGACCTTTATTTTAGGGGAAAGGTTAGCACAGGTCAGATGTGATCCTTCTATAGCTTTTTGGAAAGCTCGCAAGCAACCAGTACTCAGTGCACGGGTTGATTCTGATTAGGATTGGGCCTTTGGCAGGATCTGTTTCTAAATTACCTCAGGATTTCTGGGTCCAGCAGAAACTTTTTCGAAAATTTAATGCAGAACAGGGCATTCTTTCCTGAGAGAAAACTTCATGTTTCTCAACCTTAGCAGGTATGGACTTCAACTTCCATGCTAGTTGTGGAATTCTGGGAGTTGAAGTCCATACCTCTCAAAGTTGTCAAAAAACACAGGCTTAATCACTTCTTGCACCCTATAGAACATGTTTTTTTTTTTTAAAAAAAAACACCCTACTGGCATATAGAGTGGGAAGAAACTCTCAATACTTCCAAGCTATTTTTCTAAGCTTATTTGCTGTACTGATTGAATGAGTACAGATGCTCTCCATATACAGAACACTCCTAGAGTCCCCAACAGGTTTAGAAAACATATTTGCCATGCAAGAATATTTCTATGACGTATTTGCCAAGCAGCAAAAGGATCCATTGAATTTTTTCATTTTAAACTGAAGATGTTCATGTAGTCTTAATCAAAAGAAGAAAAGCAACCTCTTTGCCCTGCTTCAGGATCTTCCCAGGTACCCTGGAGCTGAGCTGGGTCAAACAGACCAGGGAATGGGGGCCCAAATTTACCCCCAAAGCCCACACGAGCAACAGTCTATGTGATTTGCGTGACTGTTTTTCTACTAAGGGTCTTTTGAGAAACGGGATCATTTTTGCAAAGATAGAAACTAGATGTTGAGATCCTAGAAAGAGTGCAGAGAAGAGTAACAAAGATGGCATGGGAGGCTACATGATTGAGTATACTAGGTATGTAAGAGAAGGACTAGGATGACACGATAGCAGTCTTCCAATATTTGAAGGGCAGTCCTAGAGTAGAGGGGGTCAATTTATTCTCCAAAGTACCAGAGGCAGTATGAACAGTAATGGGTGGAAGCTTGTTAAAGAGAGATCCAATCTAGAACTCATTCGAGAACAACTAATTTATTTATTTATTTATTTATTAAATTTATTAAATTTAATCATCAGAGTGGCTTGCCTCCAGAAATTGTGGGCGCTCCATCACTGGAGGTTCTTAAGAAGAGATTCAACAGCCATTTTTCTGAAATGATACAGAATCTCCTGCTTGAGGGGGAGTTGGACTAGAAGATCTCCAAGGTCCTTTCCAACTCTATTATTCTATGTTCTATATTCCACCTCTTTTGCAATCGAAATAGAAGGGCCGTGTCAAGAGAGTTTTCATCTTGGCTGATCCAGTTATTGGTGCTGCTTTTGGTAGGGGGAACAAGCCTTATAAATTAGGAAATCCCTGCTGTCTGGAAGAAATTGAGAAATGAATGAAAGTAAAATGGAAGCAGTCATAAGAATATATGTTTATCATAAATGTAAATAGAAACCTAACTTTCTATTTTGTTTAATTTTGATTGAACATAAAATTATATAATTTTGGCATATTCCTTGAGAAAGGCAAATACTGAGGATTGGAAACCTTTCAAAATACAAATGAACCTTTTTTAAAAATCCATTTTTTCTAACGCAGCTGCTAAATAAGTTCTCAGTTTAACTCACTAAGAAGAAGAATATGAAATTATATAATTTCAGAATCTTCCTTGCGCAAGTCAAAATTTGGGGATTGCAGGTCTTCAGATATAAAAATACCCTTTAAAATATCACTTTTTTCATTTCAGCTGCTGGTTCTCAGTTCAACTTACTATGGATGAATGCGAAAAATAGAGGCCATGAGATGGCCTCTAAGTGAGGCTCAGCTCTGAGGGTCTTATATGGCAAGACAAACAAGGGAACCTTCAGAGGGGATCTAAAGGAAATGGATCTTACGGCCTCCATTAATTATATTTGCATTCTCAAATAAGGCAAAGTGAATGGAACTTTCCTGAACTTTATACTTTTTGCTCTCCGATAGACGGAGTCTAATATTTGCCTTAGAATGTGTAGACTACTAATCAACTTGATAAAGAGTGCAACAAACAACAAGCAACAAATATTAGTCGCCCACTCATTAACCCAGAGAAAATCCTTGTCTTGACTTTTCTGCCTTAGAAGGATCTGCTCCTTGGGATTTAGAGCAGTGGGGGCCACATGAACAATGGGGGGTGGGGGGCAGTCACAATGGAGGTATTAAACAAAGCATTTTGATAGAGCTTCCGGTAAGCAATTCCCACATGCTAGTGGTGCATTGCTGGGGAGGCTGCAAGATAAGTCAAAGCAGTCAAGAAGGCAGCCACAATCATTGCAGTCAAAGCTTTGCTTGGTTTTTATGTGTGTTGCAATTAAAAAAAAAAGCTTTGATTCCTGCAGTTGTGGCATCAGCTTAATATTTTTGACCCTTCAATGCAGCCGCCTCTGCCAGGCCAGAAGAGCAAAAGCTTCTGCCCCTGACCCGACTTCCCGGTTTGGAGTCTGGGGTGGAGAATTCTGTGCTCCAAATCCCCGGTCTGAGAGCAAGGAACCCCTTTATTTTATTTTTTTATTTGATTTATATGCCGCCCTTCTCCGGAGACTCAGGGCGGCTTACAATGCATTAAGCAATAGCCTTCATACTTTTGTATATTTATACAAAGTCAGCTTATTGCCCCCACAAACTGGGTCCTCATTTAACCTACCTTAGAAAGGATGGAAGGCTGAGTCAACCTTGAGCCTGGTAAGATTCGAACCTGCAGTAATTGCAGGCAGCTGTGTTAATAACAGGGTGCTTTAAACCACTGTACTACCAAGGCTCTACAGAGTTCATTGAGAGCAGTGGGCTTCCCTTCCTAACATGCTGCCTGGGGAATTCTGGGAGACGAAATCCACATATTTTACAGTGACAGAAGCTGAGAAATACTGATTCTCTCTCAACATCCTGCCACAAAGATAGGAAATCTAGGAAATCTGCCCGAGTGGCCAGCAAGCAACCAGCCTCATTTTTAAAAATGCACCCTCAAGTTGTCAGGCTGAAATTCAGACCTGGGGGCGCCCTCTGCTCATGTGCAAAAGGCGCCCCTGGAAAGGAGCCTTGCCAAGAACCCAGAGAGGGTCCGTCTGAGAAAGCCAACAGAGAATTTTATTCCCAGCCCCCGGCCTCCGGCCCTGCCCTTCTGCGTCTTTCCCGGCTGGCTCCGCTTAAGAGGTGGAAAAGGCTGTGCTCCTCGCTCCAAGGATGACGCCCCGTTTGGCCCTGAGGAGCAGTGGTGGGTTCCTCCCGGTTCGGCCTGGTTCAGCTGAGCCAGTAGCGGTGACAATATGACATCACGGAACCGGTTCTCTTTGTTCGGGAGCTGCCCGCCACCACGTTATTCTTACCTTTTATTTGGCCCCGCCCCCAATCTATTCGCTGCCTCCCAAGTCCCAGCTGATTGGCTAGAAGGAAAAAAACTGTTTAAACTCTTGCCGCGGGGCTTCAAAAGGCCACCCTACAGCTGATCAGTGTTAAAAGGCAATGTGGTGATAGACCAGTGCGCTCGAAAAACAAATGGGTAGACCGGTACCTCCAAAAACAAATGAGAAGACCAGTACAGTTCTGCAGCAGTTAAAAGCCTGGTAGACCAGTACCTCTGCTAAATCCTAAAGATTTGTCACATGACCATCAAGCCATGCCCACAGAACCGGTAGTAAAAAAAAATTAGAACCCACCCCTGCCGAGGAGCCGCGGGCTGCTTCAGTTGCAAGGCCAGGTCTGCCCCGTTTCAGGCTCTTCCAGGCTGAGCGACGCCCCTCACTCGAAGTGCCCGTGGAGGCTCAGCCGGCGAGGTTGGAGGCAAAGTAGCCGGGCGGCTCCTTAACTAGAAGAGAAGATTGCAGAGATCGCTGCTGAGAGCAGAGATGAAGACCGGGCTGAATAATAGAAGAATCAGCAAGGAGTTTGGCTCTTTGCAATTCCCGTCCAGGAGAAGACTCGCTCTATAGTCTAGGCCAGAAGTCTTCAAACTTGGCAGCTTTAAGACTTGTGGACTTCAATTCCCAGAATTCCTGAGCTAACATGGCTGGCTCAGGAATTCTGGGAGTTGAAGTCCACAAGTCTTAAAGCTGCCAAGTCTGTAGCGGGTTTACAGAATAACAGAGCTGGAAGGGACCTTGGAGGTCCTCTAGACCAGAGGTCTTCAAACTTGGCAGCTTTAAGACTTGTGGACTTGAACTCCCAGAATTCTTCAGCCAGCTGGCTGGAGAATTCTGGGAGTTCAAGTCCACAAGTCTTAAAGCTGCTAAATTTGAGGACCCCTGCTCTAGACCAACCCCTTTGCTCAAGCAGGAGACTACCAGGGGTGGGCAACTATGGCCCTTTATGACTTGTGGACTTCACCTCCCAGAATTCCTGAGCCAGCCATGTTAACTCAGGATTTCTGGGAATTGAAGTCCACAAGTCATAAAAGGTCCATAGTTGCCCACCTCTGAACTAAACCCATTTCAGACAAATAGCTGTTCAGGCTCTTCTTGAAAACCTCCAATCATGAAGCACCTACATATAACTTCTGGAGGCAGGCTGGTCTAATCGTTCTCACTTGTTAGGAAACTTGCTTAGTTCCATTTCTCTTCCTTGATTAGTTTCCATCCATTGATTCTCATCTTGCCTTTTGGCGCTTTGGAGAAGAGGCGGAACCCCCTCCCCCTTTTTCGGGGCAGCCCCTCGAATACCAGAAGACTGCCATTGTGGCCCCCCTCACCCCCCCCCGTTCCCCTTTTCTTTGGACGGCCCATCCCCGGTTCCTGCAACCCTTCTTCCTATGTTTTACCCTCCAGACCAGGGGTGGGCAACTGTGGCCCTTTTACAACCTGTGGACTTCAACTCCCAGAATTCCTATGACAGCCAAGCTGTCTCAGGAATTCTGGGAGTTGAAGTCCACAGGTTGTAACATAGCCACATTTGCCCACCCCGTCCTTGGGCTGACCACAACCGGCCGCAGTGTCCTAAGTGGGGTCTTACCCAGCGCCGAGCCCCGCCCCCGTTCAAGAGGGAAATCGGCTTTTAAGCAATCCGCGGTGGGGGTTTCTTAGAGGGGCCGGTTCCCGGCACGAAAGGCCGGAGAGCAGCGGGGCGAATTCCTTCCAGACTTCTTCAGCCGGTGGCGCGTCCGCTTCAACCGCCCGGCTCCCGCAGCCAAGGCAGACTCACCCGCCGAAAAGCAACCCGGGGGAGCTGCGAGCAGAGGCTCGAGAGGATTCTCCCTGCGCCTCTTTTCTGAGCCTTACGGCGGGCGCGGGGAGCTCCGCCCATTTCCAGAGCCTCGAGGCCAATCAAGCAAGGAGCAGGCGGGCCCAGCTCCGGGAACCGCCAATGAGAGGCCGAGCCGAAAGCCGTCCTTCTTCCCTCCCTCCCTCCCGTCGCGCCGTCTTTGGACGCCTTTCCGACATCGCGGGTCAAGCATGAAGAAAGCAGTGGCGCTGGTGGGCGCGGGGCCTCCTTCGCCCGGCGCCTCCTCCGTGCCCGGCTTCCTAGCCAAACTTTGGTCTCTGGTCGAGGACCCCGGGAGCGACGACGTAATCTCGTGGAGCCGGGTGAGGGCCGAGGACGCATGCGCAGAAGGCAGAGGCCCTTGAGGGGCCCGGATCCCCTCCGGCAGCGGTTTGTGGCCTTGGAAGACAAAAGGGAAGATTCGTAGCTGCGGGTTGAAAGGAGAAGCCCGTGGCGCTCTAGGCGTTCTTCTCGCGGCCGCCTCGTTGCCCAAAGCAGGCGGCAGCATCGCCAGGGCCAGGAAGTGGGGGGGAGTTGGGGGGAGGTTCGCTCTCACAACCGCCGCCGTTGCCCCCTCCCCCCTGGCCCTGGCGATGCTCTCCCCGGGAGGGAGTGGGGCTGGGACTCGGCTGAGAAGGCTGCGAGAGCCGACTGCAAAGCCGGGGAAGAGCAGGGCGATGATACCAGGCAAAAGTCGGGGTTGTCAGTTGCCGGCTGGAGTTCCGTTTGCAGCGGAGCGAGGGGAGAGCCTGGCCGCAAGGGAATGAATGAAGGCCTCGGGCATCGCGTAATGAGGCCTGTGAACCCCGGGGGGCTTTGCGTGGCTTTGAAGGCGAAAGCGGCTGCTTTAGGGCAGGGGTGGGCAACTGTGGCCCTTTTACAACCTGTGGACTTCAACTCCCAGAATTCCTGAGACAGCTTGGCTGACAGCTTGGCTGTCTTAGGAATTCTGGGAGTTGAAGTCCACAGGTTGTAAAAGGGCCACAGTTGCCCACCCCTGCCTTAGGGCGCATCCTTGAGAGTAAACGGATCTCCGTGGCCGTCCAACATCAACAGGCAGAAAAGCTTCGGACGGGAACCCCAAGTCTGCCGCCTTTTGAGGTGGGCGTTGCTGGTTGCCTCCTTGTTTGTACTTAGGGACAAGTGGTGTGAGAAAGGCCTGTGGCAGCGTTTGAGGTGTGTTAGGCCATAACTGGGTATACAATCTGTATGCAGATGATGCTCTCCTCTTGGCAGAGAATCCAGATGATTTGCAGCAAAAGTTCTATAAGTTATATCACGTAACAAAGAGCATGAAGCTGAAAAGTAATGCACCAAAGGCCATCCAACCTTCTGTTTTAACAGGGAAGATGGAGGATTGCAGATAAAACCTAATAATCCCAATTGATTAAAGTGGGAAGACCAGACTGGCTAATTATTGCCGATCAGTTTATTATGCATAATTGGAAAGTTATGTGAAACTCCTCTGCCAAAAGTTTCTTGAAAGCGTGGTCCAACAAAACATTATAGCCAAGGACGTATATGGATTTAGGGTTAGAGTTCTCGATTGTAGTGTTTTCCCTTCCCCTCAGGAAAATATACCAGTCCACCAAAAGTTTCTCTAGAAAAGTGACATTAATTTCTGAGGCATTTTGATGAAAATTAACAATTTCCTCTGTTGATTGCTGGCTACTCCAGTTAATTATGTTGCATGAAGGCACCTCAGTGACATAATTACAACTGCTAAAGTATTCAAACATGTTCTGTTCCTCCCCTATTTGATTTTATACATGATATTGTCTTCACCCTTAATAGAGCTAAATTTTATCCCTGGCAAAATCAATTTCCATTTTTATATATGCTGAAAATATTGTTATTCTGTCTGTTGCAAGTGGGGCTGTGGGTCAGCTTCCACCTGTTAACATCTTTGGTTGACCTGAAATAGTTATGTGAAACTAAGGTACAATTGACAACTACCAAATGGAGCAGGTGAAGACTTTTTAATATCTAGATGTATACTTCCAGTTACCATCTTCCTGGAAACGCCACTCTAAACTTTCTTAGTGTGCCTGCTTCCTAATGCAATAATTCCTAATGCAATAATTAGATACACAATAATTAGATACACAACTACTGTATGCACTCACAGCAATCAAACTTCTAAAAGCCCAAGTGAAGGTCCTTGTGATCTCTGAGTTTGGCTGCTTTCTTGCAGACATTACATTACCCAAACTGGGTAACATCATCAGTTGTAGACACAATCTAGCACTGATAATGTGACCTAGTTGGATAATGAACCATCTCCAAGAAAACAGCCAAGCTCAGAGATCGCCAAGGACCCCTTATTCAACCCTGAGTTACAGTTTCTCTCCCTTAATAGTAAAAAGCCCAAGTATTTGGTGTATTGTGCATAGTCTTGCATTTCTAAGAATACTTGTGAGTTTAAAGCAGTCCAATCTATTTTTGAGATCCTTGCTCAGTGCTAGTGTACTTCTGCTGCCTAAAGCTTGGATGCATCTCAATCAAGGATCACCTACTATTCTGCCAATTGAAATACTGGATTGATACAATTTCAGGGATGGATCTTTAGCTCAAGACGCTGCTCTCCTTGGAGGAAATAACAGCCTGGTCTGATGTATTGTAGCCCCATTTTTTTTATCCATGCTCAGCCTGATCTGGAGAGAGCACAAACAGAGAAATTTGACTTTGATCCAAAGAGACAGGATCTCTACTACAGTGAGCGCTGTACCGTGCCTTGATCAATCCTTACCTTCTAAATGGCCAGCATTGGGAAATCTCCGGAATAATAGCAACATTTTCTGCCATGATAAATCCTTACCTTCTAAATGGCCAGCATTGGGAAATCTCCAGAATAATAGCAACATTTTATGCCATGATAATGACAATCAAGATACTGAATCGGACTGTAATTTTAGTTATACTTATTTATAGCTATTTTTTTATTATTATATTGTAATTTATTAAATTGAATAGTTTTGAATTACAGAATGTTTTGCCGGAATGTGCTGTTGAAATGTGGCTGCTGTATGTGATACAAGTAGCATGTTGTGGAAATAAAGCATGCATGAAAATAATGAGGTGTCAACATTGTTGGCTCCAGAGCCATCCATATCTGCAAGTACAAATGGGGAGGGCTTTGGCTGTGGTTCCAAACCTGCCATCTTGGAAAATTTTGACCTTGCTTGTAAATGCTGCTGGTTGGCCCCTTGCTCACACAATGTATTTGTAGGCAGGTACATGATACATGCTTATTGTATCACTCAAGGTGTATTAGTTGGGATCCTAACTGGATATATTTCTGTATACAGATGATCTCTTCTTGGCAGAGAACCCGGGTAACTTCTAGCAAATGTGGCATAAGTTGTACAATGCAGTCAGGAGTGTGAATCTGAAAATCAGGGCAGCAAAAGTCGAGATGGTTCCGCTTGACAGAAAAAATGGAGCTCTGTCAGAGCAATAGATGACTTTACAGCCAGTCCTCATTTAGCGATTGCGGTATAGAACACAGGGCAGGAGCATGCTGTCTGTTTTGAGGAAGGAACGTTAGTCTAAAGAAGCAGCGAGTACAAGGCTGTATTCCATTTTGTTCTCCGGAACTGAGAGTTTAGTATATCGGGAGAAACAGAAAAGGAAGTTGAATGTGGTGGGAGTGGGGAACTTAAAAATAATGGGGTCAGGAATAAAGAGATGCTAAATGAATGTGAATCAAGTGCAGAAGGGAATAGTATAAAAGAAATATGGTACATTACAGTGGGTTGGTTGTATAAACAATGAATAAAGTTTGAATTGTGGGAAAAAAATTAGAGGAATATATTTTATATATATATATGAAAAATGAAAGCAAGGATAATTTCTGATGGAAAAATATATTGAATGATGTGGGGTAGGTCCTTACATTACACCTAGGAGTATTGGGGCAAACAAATGTATGATATCTGAATCTCACATTTTTTTACTATGAAATGCTTTCTTCTAATTATTTTCAGCCTTTGAAAAACCACAGGCTGTTTATGTCTATGGAGATTCTCAGTCATCCAGGTCATGGTTGTCCCCACGGTTCTTTTGCAAGAAGCAACTGAACTTCTTCTCATCCAAGAAGCTCCTTCAGCTCTTCAGACGCCTCTTGTATGAGAAGCGAAATGTCTTCAAAGAAAACAAGAAAGTCCAGTTGCCTCTTGAAAAAGCACCTTTGGGACACAGGCTGTTTAGTCGATGGAAAACAGGATGATCTAGCTTCAGAAATGGGACATTTGGACATTGTATGACTTTGAAGTGTTGTCTTGCCTCACCACCCCCACCCCCCTTTAGTTCAGGCAATGCCTTGTTGGGTTAGTATTTTGTTTAAAAATGAATGCAGGCATGCAAAGACATGATATCAAAGTAATTATGTGGGTGTTTGCAAATTTAGTTGGAACCAGCTAAAACCTTCCAGTTGAAATCCCATTTTCCTGGGTTCATTTTAATAAATCATTTTATGCATTTACCGTGCTGCAGGAAACTTTCTCGGGGATTATCTAGGATTCTGAACCACAAAAAATATTTTCATTAATGTTCTGAGGCTTTATAAGGGAACTCTTAAGAATGGGCGGGTTGGTATTCACCTCTCACTGTAGGATTTGCTAAGAATACTATTGGGCTGAACATCGCACGTGGATCTGGAGTAGTCCTCCTGAGAAAACTTTGATTATATCTGCGCCAGTTTCACTTTGAATGCTGCTTGTAACGTGTCAGAGAAAGAGGTCCACTTGCCTTTTGTGAATCTTGTGTATGAGCAATTCCTATATCAGTTTTGTTTCATGAACAGCCTGCTTCGTGGGCTAATTCATAACTGCAAGGGTTCTTTGACTCCTGGTCATGTGGCTTCAAGAGCTGCCATATTTATTTGGGCTATTGCCAGGTAATGTTTTTGCTTTGAAGGCAAATAGGGTTGACAAATAGAAGATTAGGGGTGCATGTATGTGGCTCCCATGAATTCCTGGCCAAGGTGTAAGCAGCTGATCCCCTGGGCTGCAAAGGCAGATCCCTTGGATCCTGGGGGCAGGTGCCTGAGGCTGAGCCAGAGCGGTATGTGTGAGTGTGGTGGTTCCTGCCTTCCAAGGTTCAACTCAGAATCCAGAACTGTGGCACAGCGTAGGTTCTTGCTAGGTGGAACGGGCTTGGAAATTGAAATCATAGGTCTCTTTTTTACTAGGGTTTTTTTTTTTATAGTACATTTCTGTTTGTGTAACGTAGCTTCATTTATTCTTTAGGTAATATTGGGGCTTGGGGCACATTGGGGGGTGGTTGATAGATTAATAACAGATCCCACATCTCCCCCCCCACCCTATTCCCTCCCTCTTCATCTTTTAGTTAGAGTTGAGTATTTGTATTTTTATAGTTGTCAACTCGTGAAGCATTCCTGACCTGCTCTTGAGTCACAATAGTATTGCATTTGTATTGTTTATAGATGGTGTTTAGTTTTATCTTTTAATTTTATAAGCCACCCAGATTTGCCCTGTGCTAAGATCCAATCAATAATACATGTTACTGTTTATATAATACTACTATATATGATAAAAGTGGAATGAAAGCAAAATAAAAATAATAAAATAATGAATAACAAAACCCAAATCTTGGTATGATTAATGTCTGAAAAATCAAAACTGGATTCTGTCATTTCACAGAAGGAGGTCAAATCAAAATGCATTGTTGGCTTGTGGTTTGGGTGTGCACATATATAAATTTACAATAAATACATTTCACATCTTTTTGCACTTTACATCTCGTCAGTCACTCTGTCAATGTGTCCCATCCCATTAAAAATCTAAAGCTCACTTTTTCAGAAAAAGACTTCTTATATTTGGAGGCATTTTGTGAATCAGTTATAGCTTTAAGGACATTAACAACTGCAACAGTTGATAATTCTTAGCTTTGTAACTCTAAAACGAGTGAAAAGTAGCTAGGGCCGAAGCAGGGCTTGCTGGTGGGAGCTCTGCTACTGAAGCTCAAACCAAAGCATATATCCAAATAATGAGGGAGAGAGATAGTTCCAACGGCTGCTGCCTAGAGTTTTCTTCCACCCTTTCGGTAAATTCAGCTGAGACACTTCATCTCCTGGCTCAGTAGAGACAACTGGAGATGGATTGCTCTGCCATCATTCTCTGGTTGCATTAGTGGGTTCTCCTTAGTTAAGAGATGGAAGTCGCATCTCTCCCAGTCTGTTCAGTGCACCTCCAATATATACTACTGGGTGAGGTGCACTAAAATAATAGACCGAATGATGCCACTGAGTAGTAGATCTTGACATCTTTAGTTACTCTTTCTTACTGTACTTATTTTTTTTCTTAACTTTTCTAGAATGGACAGAATTTTTGCATTTTGGATGAACAGAGGTTTGCTAAAGAATTGCTTCCTAAGTACTTCAAACACAACAATTTGTCTAGCTTCATACGACAGCTCAACATCTGTAAGTATGAGATTCTGTCTATATTTTTGTTGTTTTCGGCACTCAGTGTCCCTTAAAATGAAAAAAAAAACCCCGAACTCTCTACCTAAACTGTCGGAAAATAAACACAACAAATTATTTAAATATTTAACACCAGAACTGGGTTTATGCAAAAGGTATAATATTCGCCTACCATACAATAGCTATAAAGCAGTATGTGGGTTTTTTAAAATTTGCATTTGGGATATGAAGGAGCAATTTCCTCTGAAAGGTTCCTGTAGCTGCTTTAATAGAGGCCCCAGGAGGCCTTGCTCATGTAGGCTACACACGGTTGTTTGAGGCAGCAGAAACACCATCTACACGTAAGCTATGCCAGCTCCATAACCATGTCCCTACAGTGGCCTTTGAAGTAGCTGCAGGAGCCTTGCAGAGGATGTAACTGCATTCATGTCTTGGGGAAATGTATAATACTGACAGACTTTATATATATATATATATATATATGTAGGTCTTTGGTTATTCGGGTCTTCTCCCACGTAAAATTGGAAGTGTCTTGGCGACGTTTCGACGAAGTCTCATTCGTCATCTTCAGGCTGGTGTTCTCGCTTCGTGCTTCCAGGAGCAATGTGAGATCGCAGCTGTCTCTTCCTTTTAACTGCTAGTGGGGGTGTGAGCTGATTGGGTGGGGACTTGGCTGTGTTCTGATTGGATGGGGGGGTTGGTTGTGCTCTGATTGGATGGGGGTGTGTTCTGTTTGGGTGGGGGCTTGGTTGTGCTCAGCTTAGTCTGAGTTGCAGGGGGATTTGAGCTGGTGAGCTGCGTTGTTGTTTGGCTTCGTGTTTGTGGCCGTGCGAGCTCTTCATGGTGGGTGTCAGTCTGCTTCATGTATGGATTGGAGGGGTTTAAAGTGGCTAATGATGCAGCTGCGGTCTGGCTTCTGGTCCTTGGTCGTGGCTCATTATCAGTGTGGGTTTGAGTCTGCTTTCTGCGTGGATGTGTGGTGATGACATCCTGTGTGGCTCTCGTGAGTGTGGATCTGGTGTCATTCATCGTGTTAGGGACTCGTTTGTCAATAAGGGCGGGTTTCCAAATGGCTGGTAGGCGGGAGGTATCGTCTCGTTTGTTCATGCTGTATGGGCGTTTTTCTATCTCGATGGCTTCTCTGATTATTCTGTTGTTAAAGTGTTCAGTTTTGGTGATAGTTCTGGTCTTTTAAAAGTCAATATCATGTCTTGTGGCTTTAAAGTGTTGGACCAGGGAAGAAGTTGGTTCCTCTTTTCTGACTGAGCTCTTGTGTTCTTCTATGCGTGCACTTATTCGTCTGTTGGTTTGTCCGATGTATGTGGTGGGGCAGGCGGTGCATGGGATTTCATATACTCCTTGATTTTCTAACTCAATTTTGTCTTTGGGGTTCCTTAGGATGGTGGATATTTTTTGGTTTGTGCAGAATGCTGTCTTGATGTTATGTTTGTGGAGGATTTTGCTTATTCTGTCTGTGGTGCCTTTTATGTATGGGAGGAGGGCTTTGCCGTTTTCTTGTTCTCTGTCTTGGATTTTAGTGGGGGTTTCTTTTTGGATTAGGTTGGTGATCTTACTTCTTTGGAATCCATTGGATGTTAGTACGTTAGTGAGAGTGTGTAGTTCAGTTTTTAGGTGTTGTTCGTCAGCTAAGCGTTTTGTTCTGGAAATGCCAAGACACTCATGCCAAGAGTTTTACAAAAAGAAAAAAAAATTTTTTTACAAGTATTTTCCCATCCACCCTCCCTTACTTACCCCCTATCCACCCCCCACCTCGAACTTCCCAGAACAAAATACAGGGTATAACAATTAACAATCATATGCTAAACTAAGCTAATTAACTAAGGATTCCTATCCCCCCTTCACACTTTAATTCCCCTTTTACTTAACTAAATATAAATACTCTCAATTTTTCTATTCATTCGTAAACTATTTGATACTTTTTAGTCCGATATTTGTTTTGAATATAATCAATCCATCTTCTCCATTCCGATATATATCTTTCTTGTGAATGATCTTTCAAAAATGCTGAAATCTTCGCCATTTCTGCCAGATTCGCTACTTTTAATGTCCATTCTTCAATAGTAGGCAAATCTTCCTTCTTCCAATATTGCACCACCAAAAGTCTAGCTGCAGTTATTAAATTTAAAATTAGTCTCTATAACCGTACAATCTGTAATTATACCCAGCAAGAACAATTGTGGAGTAAACTTTATCTTCTTTTTAAGAATATTTTGAATAATCCACCATATTTTAATCCAAAATGCTTTAACTTTTTTACAAGTCCATTATATATGATAATAAGTGGCATCATCACAATCACATCTCCCAACACTTAGATTGTAAATTCGGATACATAAAAGCCAACTTTTTAGGATCTAAATGCCATCTATAGAACATTTTATAAAAATTTTCTCTTAAATTTTGTGCTTGCGTAAATTTTACATTTCTAACCCATATTTTTTCCCAAGTTTCCATCATTATTGGTTCCTGAATGTTTTGTGCCCATTTTATCATACAATCCTTAACTAATTCCGTTTCTGAATCTATTTCTATCAATACATTATATAATCTTTTTATATGCATTTGACCTTGGTCTCTATTTTTTTTTACCAAATTTTCCTCGTTCTGCATGATACCAATTCTCTGATCTTCTTTCCATCTAGCTTGCAATTGACCATATTGAAACCAAGTTTGAATTATTCTTTCTTCTTTTAATGCATTTAAAGATTTTAAGTGCAATACACCCCCTTCCATTTTAAGAAGCTCTTTATAAGTAATCACCTCTTGCTTTTGTTCTACACTTGTATTCTCTATCGCATGTCTAGGTATTGCCCATATAGGTATCTTATAATTTAACTTATATTGATACGTTTTCCAAACTCGTAACAAGGCATTCCTTAATATATGGCTTTTAAAGGTCTTATCCACCTTTTTATTATATAATAAGTAAGCATGCCAGCCATATAACAAATCATATCCTTCAATGTTCAATATTCTTTCTTCTGTTGAGTTAATCCAATCACTAATTATTGTTAGGACAGCTGCTTCATAGTATAATCTTAGATTAGGCATTTTAAGACCTCCTCTTTCACGTATATCTTGCATTATTTTTAACTTTATTCTCGGTCTTTTCCCTGCCCAAACAAAATTATTAATACCCTTCTGCCATTCCCTCAAATTTTCATCTTTCTTGAGTATTGGTATCATTTGGAACAAAAATAGAAACCTAGGTAGAACATTCATTTTTATTGCTGCAATTCTTCCCAACAGAGATAATTGTAGTTTTCCCCAATTCTCCATCTCTTTCTGTATTTTTTGCTATAACAATTCATAATTATTTTTATATAATTTTATATTTGGGGCTGTGATATATACCCCTAAATATTTAACCTTTTTTACTATTTCAAATCCTGTTAGTCTTTCTAGTTCTTCTTTTTGCTTTACTGTCATGTTTTTAGTTATTATCTTTGTTTTTTGTTTATTTTAAATCCAGACATTTGTCCATATTTGCTGATTATATCCATTAAACCTGTAGCTGATTGTACTGGTTGAGTTAAAGTAACAACCAAGTCATCTGCAAATGCTCTTAATCTATAATCATGATGTCTAATTTTAATTCCCTTTATTTTATTTGTCCCTCGTATTTTATTCAATAAAGATTCCAAAGTTAAAATAAACAATAATGGTGCTAGAGGGCATCCCTGTCTTGTTCCTTTTTCAATTTTAAAAATTTCTGTTAAACCACAATTAATTATTATTTGTGCTGTTTGTCTCTGATATATTGCTCTAATAGATTGTGTAAAGTATTCTCCAAACTGCATCTTTTCTATTATTTTCAATAAAAATTGCCAATTCACTCGATCAAATCCCTTCTCCGCATCCAAAAAGATAAGCGCTGCAGGGACTTGGTTGTTCCTTTTCAGATATTCCAATAAGTTTACAATTTGTCTTACATTACATTTCATTTGTCTCCCACTTATAAATCCAGATTGGTCATTATGAATCATTTGTTGCATGATTACCATTAACCTATTTGCTAATATTTTAGCAAAAAACTTATAATCAGTATTTAAAAGCGATATTGGCCTATAATTCTTGGGTTGACTACGGTCTTGATCCTCCTTTGGAATCAATGAACTAAAAGCTATTCTCCAGGAAGGGGGTACATCTCCTCTGGCTTGAATCTTGCAAAATAGTTCCTTAAGCGGTTCTACCATTTCTAACTGCAAATTTTTATAATAAACAGCTGTCAGTCCATCTGTGCCTGGAGCTTTACCCCCCTTTAACTGTTTAATTGCTAAAATAATTTCTTCCGAAGTTATTGCCGCAAGGGTCGGTCCTCTCGCCTCTCCTGTTCAACATTTATGTGAAGCCGCTGGGCGAGATCATCCGTGGTTTCGGGGTGGAGTACCATCAGTACGCTGACGACACCCAGCTGTACATCTCCACCCCGGATCACCCCAACGATGCCCTTGAAGTGATGTCCCGGTGCCTGGAGGCCGTACGGATCTGGATGGGGAGGAACAGGCTCAGGCTCAACCCATCCAAGACCGAGTGGCTGTGGTTTCCGACGTCCCGATATAGGCAGTTGACGCCATCACTGACTATTGGGGGCGAATCATTGGCCCCCACGGAGAGGGCTCGCAACTTGGGCGTCCTCCTGGATTCACGGCTGTCTTTAGAAGAGCACTTGACGGCCGTGACCGGGAGGATTTTTCATCAGGTTCGCCTGATTCGCCAGTTGCGTCCCTTTCTGGATCGGGACTCGTTACGCACGGTCACTCATGCCCTCGTCACCTCCCGCCTGGACTATTGTAATGCTCTCTACATGGGGCTCCCCTTGAGGAGCACCCGGAGGCTCCAACTGGCGCAGAGTGCGGCCGCGCGGGTGGTAATGGGAGCGACGTGGCGCTCCCATGTGACACCTCTCCTGCGCGAGCTGCACTGGCTCCCGGTGGTCTTCCGGGTGCGCTTCAAGGTTTTGGTTACTACCTTTAAAG